TGTGACTTAGTCTGATTACATGTGACGTCTCTTCTTGAATATCAGCTGTGCAAAATCTTGCTACACAAACAAAAACAAGCAGAGGAATTGTAGGGGAGAGAGCAGGTTATCTCTAAGCCAGGTCAGATTCTGCATTTGATAAATTTTAGGTCTTCCATATAGATTTTTTGCTTTACTTGTTTTTGTGGGGAGGGTGTTGTATTGCCAAAGTGAGTGATGAGGGAATAGTAGCATACAGATGTTATCAAGGCTTGAGGCTTTTGCAGAGTGAAACAATCCATGTCATAACAGCGCCATGCAATCTGGTAAAGAATATTTGTGCCTGCTGGGTGACATGGTTGAGAAAAATTTGATCCCATTAATTGATACGAAACTGAACTCCGCTACTTTATGAGGAGCAAATATTATGTACAACTCCCTGGCACATGTTGGACAGGCACTAAAATGCAGATGCACTGGTTGTGCAGAGCCTGCACCAAGCCAGGCAGACAATTAACTTGCAAAATTAATTTATTTGTATATTAGTATCAATACTGGTGGGAACTTACCAGAAAATTGATTGCTAGGAGCATGTGGAGCTTTTTTATTAACATTCTTTTTTCTAATGTAAAATATACACTAAAATAAAATTATGAAAGCCTAATTCATCTTAGTAGAGGTTAACATGAAAAAGGTTAATTAAATGCTGATGCTTGCCTCTTTGCTATAGGAAGCAGGCCACGTGTTAAGATTTCACAAGCATGTATGTCACCTGCACCAGGAGCACGCTGTACACAGCCAGTGAAGGTGAAGCTGGAGTGTCTGATTTGAGGAAATCACTTCTGTGGGGGACTTGTGGGGTTCTCTTCCATGCTGTATGTGGAAGCGTAACCTTTGATGCGTCCCTGTGTGTTGTTGTTATACAATTTCACTTGACAAAGGTTAAACTGAAGGGGAAAAAGTACTAAATTTGTGCATGTCCAAATAAGCTAACTGCTGTTGGAGCCTTTCTCATGTACCTGAGATGTGTGGGCCAAGTTTTTGCAGCATGTATAATTGGGCAGATGGATTTGAACAAGAGATGCTTGGTTTAAGAAGATAGCTGCCACCGAAGCTAATCCTGTGGCCATGCTTGCTCGTGGTGGAAAATCTCCATCTGAGAGGCCTTGCTCTTTCCATCTCCCCTCCCTGCTGTAGGATGTCTCCTCAGGAACGTGCCGCCAAAGCGCTGCTGGCAGTGGAGCAGGGATAGGAACAGAAGCAGCACCTGTACAAGGTCTCTTATGTTTCTGCTCTGGGCTGTTTTGGCTCCCATCTGGGCTGAAGCTGTGGGGGTAGGTATGTCCTTGCTCCAGCTTCTGCCTCCTGAATTCTTCATTCCCTCCTCTGCTCCCAGCAGCAGCATCTTGGTGCCCTGCTCAGAATATATTCCAGAGATTGGTCAAATGTACCTTTCTGTCTTCTTCCTAAATGCTTCTCAAAATTTGGGACACAGAGCAAGAAGTAGCTCAGAGGAGAGCTTGCAGAGACCGAGCAGTTGCAGTGTGTTGAGGTAATGTTTAAACTGTTCTTTGAAGATTTTAGCGTGCTTTTATCTGGGATAAAAGCTGGTGTTCTTGTTGTCTAAATGTAACTAGCATAATGCTCGGTCTCTCTGCAGAACAGATACTTGGTGTTTCCTAATCCCAAAGAGCTCTCACTTTCTTACATAATTGCCAGGCTTTGAGCTATACTAGAATGGGGTTTTGTCTCTCTCCACCTCCTCTTTGCCTTTCTCCATTGCCCCCACAAAATGCTTTGCCGTGAATCCTTGTTTGTAGAAAAACTGGACTATGTAGCAGTGGCCAAATGTGCTGAACAGACTGCTGAGATGTTGGCTGAGGAACGGTGCTACATGTTGCACTGAGTGCCCCTTAATTCTTTCAGAGTTTCTGAAGCTTTAGCCAGCAGTACTGTTTGCTTTCAAACAAATCACACCCTTTCTTAGGCTGGTGGTTGTCCTGGTTTGCACACACAAATCCCATTTCCATGCTCTCTGGGAAAACAACAGCACTTTGTTGCAGGGTGACTGCTGTATCGATGTCATGCAGAGTTACAAACTCCAGGACAGAACCTGCAGAGCACAGGGAGCGTTGGCTCTTTGTGTAAAGTGGCGCTGCTTGAAAGGCAGCAACTGGAAGGAGTTGCAGTACCGATAGACGGGGCTAAGTTTTTCTCCCTTCTAACGGGTACGCAGCCCTATTCGAGTCAGCAGGGTTATGTGACCATAGGTGCTCAGTGGCTCAGGAGCCATTCATTCAGAGGTATAAAATCCCCTTTGATGCATTACTGCTACAGATGTGGAATGTTTGCTCTTTTCCTTTCTGCGTTTGTCTCCCCCTGCCCGCCTGCCGTCTCTCCATCCGTGCACCCGGCGCTCTTCGTTTCGGCTTTGCTCGTGTTATGCTTTGGCTGCCTCACCTCTGATGGTCCTCAGGCTTCCCAGACTGTAACAAAAACTTTTTTACTGATAACATAAACTGCATGACTGCTGCTCTGTCCTCGCGTAGGGCCGGGGGCAGCAGGAGGTTTCTGTACTATCGCCTCGCACTCTACATTTTAGACTTTTTAAGCAGGTGAAAAATAGAACTTTATTTTTAAATGAGGCACTGGTTCTGGGAGTTCCTTTCCTCGCCCCGCTCCGGTTGAGGTCGCGGGACAGTGCCGGAGGAGGCTGCCGCGTAGCCGCACACGCCGCAGGAGGGCTGCGAATCTCTTTCCTCCTCTCTTCTCTTGCGGGCACCGGATGGGGGCGGGGGCGGCGGAAACCGCCCTGGAGCCGGTTGCCAGACGCGCTCCCTCGGTTTATTTGCAATAAATTGTGACTTTTTCACTTCGGACGCGTCCCGGCTCTTCCTTGGCCTTGGAGACGCGCCGCCCCCCCTCGCGCCGCACGTGTCTCTTTCCCGCCGCGCGCGCGCCGGCCACGCCCCCGCCGCGATGACGTAACGCGCCGCGCGGTTGCCGTGGTGACGCGCGGGGCCTGGCGGGCCGGGGCGCGATGGCGGCGGCGGCGGCGGCGGCGCGGGCGGAGAGTCCCCCGCTGCCCGGCCCGCCGGGGGGCCGCCCGCGGCCCGTGTGCTCGCGGCCCTACTTCCTCGTGCTCATGGTCTTCGCTCACCTCTACGTCCTCAACGTGCTGGGGCTGCTGCTCTTCGTCCACCTCAGCGCCGGCGACGCCGGCGGCGGCCCCCCCGCCTCCGCCGCCGCTTCTCCGCCGCCTCCGCCGCCGCCCGCCCGCGCCCTGCCGCGCCTCGAGGGCATCAAGGCAAGGCCGCGGGGCCGGGCGCGGGGCTCGGGGCGGGGCGGGCCCCGGCTCACCGCCGCTCTCCCCGCAGGTGGGCCACACGCAGCGGGTGGAGCTGGGGCCCGGCCGGACCCGCGCCGTGCGCACCCTCAGCCTCAAGCCGCCGCTCTTCGGTGAGTGCCCGCGGATCGGAGCCCGCGTCCCTGCCGCGTGCCGAGAGCGGGACGGGCGGCCGGGGAGACCGCGGGGCGCGAGGGTGCGGGGCGGGAGCGCGGGGCGGTAAGCGGTGGTAAAGCGGGGCGGCGCCGGTGCCCGGTGCCCGCCGGCTTTGTGCCCTCCTCTGGGTTTGCTCTGCAGCGCGGCCGCACCGCGTTTCCCTCTTGATGGTTTGCAGCCTTCCCCGCGTCGCTGCGACGCTCCCTAGGGTGAGCGCAGCCCCTGCAGCCCCTGCAGCCCCAGCCCCGCACCCCGTGCTGCGGAAGTCCGCTGGGAATGCACCGGTTAATTTGGTGATGGAGCTCGTATTACTGCAAAGGCAGAGCAGACCTGTTGGCACTGAGCTGGTGATGCTGGGGGCCTTGAGATGCTTTTCCAGTACCTGAGCTTTTCTCTGACTCGGAATCGATTATACAAACTGAAAACCTGGCCACAGGTCAGAGCATTTTCTTACTAAATTCCTTTAATGCCGTAAGTACCTGTAAGAAATATACAGATCTGTTTTGTCATTTCCACATATGCAGTGTTCGTGGCTCATTTCTAGCAGGTTCTCCATCAGACATTCATTGAACTCAGCCCTGGAGCGCATACTGGTTGTGAGACCCATGACACAGGCTGGGCAGTGGTTTTCCTGCTCCAGTTGCAACCTTCTGTGTCCCGCGAGTGCTGCTCTGCTGGACTGATGCTGGCCTCCAGGAGGGCACCCACAGGCAGCAGTGGTCCCACAGCCCCTGATATGACTCAGGCACCTCTGTCATCTTCTGGGGCAGGCAGTGCCTTCTGATGCTGGCTCTGGGGACAGCCCTGGGCAGGCAGCATTTCAGATTCCACCCAGACTGCTCTCCTTTATCCTCTGATAGGGAAGCCCTAATTTAGAAACCTTGACTCGTAAGACAGCTCTTATCTCCCAGATAGACCTGCCAGGAGCCAGCTGTGACTTAAAAAGAATTCCAGAGACCTCTCTATCTACGCAAACAGCACCGACCTAAATTAAGTGTTTTAAAATCCAATTATTACGTCTCTGTTGTTTAAATTGGCAAAGGTGTGTATTTAATGGGGTGGTGTTAGACAAAGCCAGAAGTCGCTGGCAGAGCTCTTGAAGTCCTGAAGGGGATTTTGCTGAATGAGAGCCACTGTAGGGAGAAGTGGCTGCGCTGTGATCTTTGCTTTCAGCAAAGCAGGGTGTTGTGGGGCTGTGGGCAGCTGGCTGATGGCCTAATGGGAGCTCTGCGCTCTGGGGCTGGGCACCACAGGGAGCGCACAGTTTGTTGTTTTAAATGTGGGTAAGTCATCTGCATTGAACCCGAGCGTATTTCATGGAGCTCTCAAAAAGTCCCTGCCCTGTTTCCCCATCCCCTCCCCCCCTCTGGTTATGAGACATCATTTCTAAGCTTGTAAGTCAGACCATCTGTGCGCTGCTTAGTTGGGAAACACCAGTAATCAAATAATCCCATTAATGGAAAACAAATATCAGACAAAGCCTTTTTCAACCTTCAGAGCTTTTACTTGTTGTGTTTTCAAAACGCAGTCTGTTCAGAGGATGCTGCCATCACAGGGACCACCTGGCAGCAGGCCCTGCGGGTCGGGCGGCAGTTTGCGAGACGAGGCAGCGGGGAGGAATAAAAATAGGAAATCTCTCTGTTTTTCTTCTGAGCCTCAGGGAAAAAGAAGTAATTGCTACACAAATGTCAGAGCGCAGCTGAATTGCAGTGCGAGTGCCGTGAGTGCTAATCTCAGCCCATATTAAATCTGAAGAGACAGTCTTGGCTGGGTTGTTGCTGTGCTTTACGAGCACAGGGAGGCAATGTGTCTCCATCAAAGCTGGTGGTTCTCTCCACAACTGAGGCTGCAGGCTTTGAGCACAGGGAAGAACGTATTTATCCCCAGAGCTGTGTGGTTTTTTTATTTTTTGTCATTTTTATTTCATTCTCAAGTTTAATCCAGTGTAGAAAACTTTCCATGGGCAGTGCTTTGTCAGACAGTAGAAATCCAACTCATTTTCTCACTCGGGGATTTGCAGTTTTCTGCTTTCTGCTCATGTTGAGCTGTGGCTGTATTCACTGGTGAGAGCGATTCCCAGTGTTGTTGCCACCTCTCTCAAGGCTCTGCGGGTATCTTCAGTAGCTCCACGGTTACCAGAACGTTCTGACCCAAACTGAATGAAGTCAAAAAGCGGTCATTCCCAGTTATGCAGAAATCCTCAGCTGTCTGCTGTGTGCTCAGGAGGGGTTGTTTCCTTTCACCTGTGCAAATGCCCATGTTATTAAAGGTGTCTTCTAGTCTGCTCGCCTGCAGATTTCAAGGCACTGATGCTGCACAAAGCCATCCATTGTAAGTCCTGGATTGGCAGGACCTTGCCGTAGGAATATGTTAAGTCTGCATCTCTAAGCTCTGCCTCGGGAGAAGGGTTTTAGTTATCTCAGGGATCTGTAGTGAGGCCCTACCTGCTGACTATGACTGCTTTGATTCACCTAAAAATACTGAATGTACGTCTCCAAAACACCAGCTGCCCGGGGAAGGAGTTTTCTAGCTGTGGGGAAGGGAGCCATTTCTTAGCATTAGGATCAAGATCTCAGACCTTCCTGCCGGCCTGCTCGGGGCAGCGGTGATGTTTCCATCTCCGCACGGCCTGGTGCAGGTTCCTGTTCTTCTTCTGCCAAGCGTAGGCCTTGTTCACCACCACTTTGTCGCTCTGCACTTCTCCGCTGATGACAAAGACCCCCGCGTGAGTGCCTCTCATGATGTTGTGGGCGCAGGTAGCATCGATGTCCAGCCACTGCTGCAGCCTGCCTGGGATTTCAGTTCTGAGGAGCGGGCCGTGCTTCAGCACCTCCACCCTGGAGGGGTCCAGGTCGAAGTCGGAGACGGTTGTGGTCGTGTTCTTCCTGAGGATTCGGATTTTCACTGCTGGAGTGGGGGAAAAAGAGCTGTTAGTTCTGTTTACATATCATAGCTTTTGTGCTGCTCCTCTAACGTGGTGACACGTCCTCCCAAACCCGTGCAATTGCAGTGATTGTGGAAAAGTTCTCAGCTGAGCTGAGCGCTTCCAGCACTGAGCACTGTTCTTTCCACCCTGCTTTTCTCATGAGCGCAGAAGGCATAGCAGCACTGTGGCATGGGCAGAGTGCCTCCAAGGAGCAGTAGCACGAGCAGCAAGTCCTGTTACTTAACAGGTATGCTGAGAACTGATCATCTCTGCAACCTGCTTGTAAAAGACGTGATTCCTCCAAGTCAGTTCTTATGGCCAAGCCATTCTTGTGCATGTCACAGCTTCACTGCTGGAGGCCGTGCCGGCTGCAGGGAGGGCAGGTGGGTGTACTCACTGAAATCGTTGGCACAGAGGCTGTCCAGGATCTCCCTGGTGGTGCTGGCCTCTTCCAGCTCGCAGTCCTTGCAACTGGCTCGAGGCACTGCTGCAACAGAAAGCTGGTTAGAACGCCTGTTGCTGGAAAAGGCATCATACGGTTTTGACATCTGCGAGTGGTGGCTTGTAGTTTTGAAATGGTGCTTCCTCCTGAGCTAGCCAGCCCCAGGATAGGAATGTTAAGCTCCCGGTCTCATGGTGGGGCAGGCACTGCTCTCTGTGCTTTGTGGAGGCTGTGTTCATTGCTGCACGTTGCCGTGACGTTGCTTAATGAATGTCTGCTGCTTTTCACCTCCTGGACAGACGCACTGTGAGCTCCCATGTCTTTTAGACTTCTCCCCTGCCCCAAGCACCACTGTCTGAGGGCACCCAGGTAGTGATGAGCAGAGCTGAGGGAACAAGCTTCAGCCAATGTCACACTCCTTTTCTAGTTACAGTGCAGTTCCCATAGAGGAAAAACTAGAATTTCCACTTTTCTTTTTAAATATAGCTTAAAGCCAGAAGCTCTAGGAACTAGGCTGGAACTTTATGATCCTTGAGGTCCCTTCCAACCCAAGCCATTCTATGAACACAGGCAAGGCATAGGCTCATCCCTGTGAGTATTCAGCATTACACATGGGAAAACATATGAGAAAAAAAGCCCTTACTTCTCCTGCTGGAGGAACTTTCATCCGTGGAGACGGCAGCGATGCACAGCTCGTGGTCTGCAGGGAACTTGTTGCAGTTGAGGATTTCAGGCCAGGGGTAGCCATAACAAGCCATGACGGGTGCACAGCTCCTCTTGACGGCCTCGCACAGGCTGCGGCACGGGTAGATGAGCCTGGGGGGGGAGCAGGGAAGCAAGCAACAAAAGGCTGTTCTGGAAATTGGACGGGAGTTCTGTTCTCCCTCAGAAGGGGGGAGAGTCCCTGCTGGGTAATCCCATGTCCCCTCACTGTGCTGCCTGAAAGTGGCTGTGATCAGATTGCACGTCCTTTCTCTCAGGAGGCGAACGCCATCGCTGCTGGGGAGCGATGCGGAACGAACTCATGCAAATGCCTTACCTGTCCAAGCAGATGGGCGCGAAGAGGGAGCAGAGGAAAATCCTGGCGTCGGGATGGCACTCCCTGGCCAGCAAGGGCAGCCAGCTGGAGGACTGCTGGATCACCTCCGGCATGGTCTCGTGCTCCAGCAGGTTGGGGATCCTCATCTCCGAGTAGCCGATGTCGTAGCACAGGGCCATGCCGCGCGGGATGGCGGTGCAGCTGGAGGACCTGCGCAGGTAGCTGGCCCGCCCCCCCGGGCCGCCCCACAGCAGCAGGCGCAGCAGCAGGCCTGGCAGCCACGGGGCTCCCCGCCTGCGGGACGCCTTCTCTGTGCTCGCAGCCCTCATGGTGCTCGGAGTGGGCTCGCAGCACACCCAGACTGAGCTGCTCCAGCCCGCAGAACGCCTTTTATAGCCTGCGAGCCACCTCCGTGGCAATCCATCCTCATTAAGTGCGGCCCTTTCAGAGCCCTCTTGGGGAAGACAATGCTCCAATTTTCGTTTGCCAGCGGCCCCGATTGTTTGGATTTTAGCAGGGGTTTGGCTTAGATCAGCAGGTGTGGAAATGAGGGCAGCTGGGGAGGAGTGAATGCCTTGGCCCTGTGTCTTGGGGCTCTCTGTTTGACACCAGTGCTCCAACCCAGCCCCTTTCTCTTGCTCCAGGATTAGTCATTATTTCATAAATCCCAATGTTTTCCTCTCTTTTGTTTGTTTTTTTTTTTCTTCTGAAAGCAATCAAGTGTTGCTCAAAGTCAATTAGGAGGCATTTGTTTAGCTGGACCCATTGTTGAGCGGGATGAGAGATAGGATGGTCTCACAGCCAAAGTTAACTGTTTGGGAGAGCAGTGGGCACAGGAACCAATTTGCAGCTGGGAAGGAAGGCTGTTTGCACTGCGGATTGCCAGCTCTTAGCTGGAAAGCCCCTCACCTTGCAACCTGCCTGGCAGAAAGCGCTTCCTGCTAATGCAATTTCTACCTAGTTACGAAATCCCATTACCACCACTGAAGAGAGGGATTGTCCTTCCTCCAGCATGTAATTAAGATTCCAGAAGCTGTCATTATTTGAGCCCGGTTTGAGGAACTGGAGATCCTGGGACTGTTGCTTGCCAGTGGGTATGGTTGGCTCTGACCTGATGTGAGGCCGTGACGCTCGGGACAGCGGAAGCTCTGGCCCCAAAGCCCCCTCTGTTACAAGGACATTGTTTTGCTGGTGGCAGAAATTGTGTCCTCAGAGGGATACAGCTGCATTGTGTCCCCGGGGCTTCCCAGGAGCATCGCATTTTCTACAGGGCCAGTTCTGGTATGCACTTAAGAGGCCAACTGCTTACTGACAGTTGGAGCTGATAGGGTTGATTTAAGGTCGTGGAAGTAATTAACTTTTATTTTTTCTTTCTCCCTTTGAGGATTGCTGCTGCAGCTGGGATGTGATGTGTCCTCAGCACACACCTGCAGGGCTGCAGTTTAGAGAGCAGGACTTTGTGTCTGAAAGCACTTACAGAATCATTAAGATTGGAAAATACTTTTAAAGTCACCTAATCCAGCCCATCACAGCCATATTCACTTAAGCCTGTCCTGTTCTGATGGCTGTACTTCCTCCCCCTTCATTTAGGGGAATGAATGAGAATAAGTCAGGAAGTTGTTTGAGTTTCCCAGTAGAGCAGTGTGCTAGGTACCCCCAGAAGGAGTTTGGTTGTTTGGGAGGTGCTGCCTGCTCTGCTGCAGAGCAAAGGAGCATGAAACCCTAGCCATCCTCGCTTCCCCTGTAAGGACTTCTGGCCTCCCTTCCTGTAAAACAGCAGTTCTAGACTGTGATCCACATGTAACCTTTGAAGTGATAAATCGCAGTGATATGCCTGTGTTTGTTCGCTCCTTTGTCCATTGTGGTGATTTGCAAGAAAATAAGGGGCTTGACCCCAGGATCCAAACATTGAGGAATGGCTGCTGTAAAAATACCCATCTCCTGGAGCTCAGGTGTGAGATGTGTGCTGTTGTAGAGCTCTTCGGGTAGAAAGATATATATATTTGACTGTCCTACTCCCCTGGCTTGGTAGGACGTTTCTAAATTTTCCTATTTTCCTCTCTTTTCAGTGGCCTGCTGTTAGTATTTGTCCTAATGTAACAGTTCCTCAGACTCTGTTACTGCTCGCATTTTCCTGCAGAAATTCCAGACTTCCTGACAGAGGAGGAGTGCAAACTCATCATCCATCTGGCACAGCTGAAGGGGCTGCAGAAGAGCCAGATCCTACCAACGGATGACTACGAGGAAGCCATGGAAATGATAGAAATCAGCCAGATGGATTTCTTCAATCTGCTGGACCACAATCAGGATGGGCAGCTGCAGCTCAAAGAGGTAGGGTGCATTTCTTCTTGTGTGTGTCCCAGCACACTGAGTTTGTGCAGCAGAGCTGGCTGTGCCCTCCTGCAGCTGATGGGGCTTCAGAATCATCCACAGTAACAATCCTGGGAGGGGAATAAGGAGCACCTTGTCCACAGCTCTTCAGCAGCCTTGTCCTGCAAGGCAGCATGCATTGGAGTAGGTAGAAGGATGTCGCTTCTGAATTTCACAGCTTGTTGAGAGCTGTACCATATCCACCTAAGGATTGGTTAACTGAGCTTCAGCAGTCATTTGCCACCACCTAAACTGGAAATGAAAATGCAGATCAGCCGACAGCGTGGCTGCCCGATGATCTCCATTCAAATCCGTGTGCAGAGATGTGCTGACGCCTGGCTGACTGATGCACTGCAGAGGAGAGCTGGCCAGGCCTCAAGCAGGAAACTGTGAGGGTTGCATTAGTACTGGAAACCAGTGCCCAGTGTTAATCTGCTTCTGAATTTCAGGTGCTGACTCACACCCGCCTTGGGAACGGCAGGTGGATGACCCCTGAAAACATCCGAGAGATGTACACTGCAGTCAAGGCTGATCCTGATGGGAATGGTAAGAGCAGCTCCTCAGGAATCCCCATGTGCTCAGCAGGGGACGCCACACACAACCTTGCAGGGAGAAGCAAATGCCATGTCCCTGCCCAGGCCTGTTGTACTAGATGGTCTTCCAAGGAAAATAACACTGCTTTAGAGACTTAGCAGAAAGTAAAATTGGTGTAGACCTCTCAGAAGCTGCTCTGGCTCTGACCATGTAGCTCTCATCGTGTGGGCTGCAGCTCTTAAGGTGTTCCCCCCTGCTTTCAAAGGGACTTTTACAGCTGTCTGAGAGAGCTGCTTCACTGGCAGAGGGGTGCAGCATCGGTGGACTCAGGGTGGTGTTGGTTAGCTTTTAGTGCTGATTCCATCTCTGCTACTGCTCTGTTCTCTGTGTTACTCCCTTACCCTGGTCTCCCTCTGGCCTGGACGTGCACTCTAACCTTTGCTGCTCTAATTAGAGTGCCCTCAATTAAGCAACTCTCCATTTCCTAATCAAATTAAGTGAATGCACAGGCGGTGCATGCTCTCTTCCAGTGACCTGGCATTGAGAGTGCCATAGAGGAGCTGCTTTGGAGATGAAGTAGGCACAGTACCCATGTGAATGCCTAACTATCCGGAGGGCACCCCGAGCACCCACGCTGGTGACATTTTTGGCAGGGGTAGGAGCGTATGACTGAGTTGCCAATGGCTTTTCCACCGTTCCGGATGTTTACGAATGAAAAGTCCTGTTAAAGTGCTTTTGGCAGGACCTTGCTTCCAGAGTGCTGCTTTCCTCCATTGTCACATCGGTGCGTGCCGCTGAGGGACCAGGTCACGACCTGGATGTGGCACTGTGTTATCAAATAAGGGGAAGTGGGGACTGGGAGATGTGAGCGGGGCATGAGAAACAGTGACGTGGGTGATTTGCTGACAACAACCAGCACCTGGGGAGCTGCCCTGGGCTGACCCTGGTGGCTGGGCCTTTCCCCATGGCCGCAAACAGCAGTGTGTTTGCTGCCTCCCTGAGCTCCTCTCTCTGTCCCTGATGTGTGCTGGCTGCTGGGCATGTGCTGCTTCCCTGCTTCTCCAGAAAGGGAACACAACAAACGGTAAGGATTTCTCTGAAGCTAACAGAGGCAAAAATCCATCCCTTGCCAAGCTCAGCTGAGTGCAAACAAGAAACCTCCTTTTACCTTTTGTTTTTCTGTCTTCTATTTACATCGGATTGTACTGTGCTGTGTATCTCTTTCATGTTTTGAAATTGCACAAAAGCAGCAAAAGCAGAAGAATGTACTGCTTGTTGTTTGGGGCTTGTTTTTTTTAAATTGCCCTGCAAGGTCTTGTAGGAAGGCGGCCTGAGGTGTCCCCCTCTGCTCCATTTAAACATGTAAGTATCAAGTTGATTGTGTTTTGCCTGTTCTGGTTCTGACCTTAAGCTGCAACTGAAGGTTCTCTATCGCCTCGTGCACAAGGGGTGCCCAGGTCAGCCTGCTCCTGCTCTCTTCCACAGGCGTGCTGAGTTTGGAGGAGTTCAAGAGGCTGAACATCCGTGACTTCCACAAGTACATAGGGAGCCAGAAAGTGAAGACGAGTGACGCGGTGCGCAACAGCCAGCACACGTGGCTGTACCAGGGCGAGGGCGCACACCAGGTCATGAGAGCCATACGGCAGAGGTGAGGGCTCAGGGGGTGTGGGAACATGGGCCACCTGTGCTGGGAGATGCAGATGCAGACATGCTAATATTCATGCTTCCTAATTGTGTGGAAGTGTGGAGTATGAAGAGCAATGAGCGCAGTCGTGAAATGGGAAGAGGAGGTTTTCGTTAGAGCAAGGATTTGTATTGTCCCCTGGAAAAGGAAAAAGAAAAATCAAACCTTTCAGCGTAGCCATTCACTTTTGGGAACAGCCCTATAAAACCAAGAAGACTTGGCATTATATGAAATAATTCATTCTAATTAGTAAACGAGCTTACTGGGAGAAACTGCCCATTTCCAACGCTGTCTGGGTGCCAGTAGTTACTGTCAATTGCTTGAGTTACTCATGCATTTCACTGAGATCTGTCGTAGCTGTTCAGAGCTAACTTCATAATAAGCACGACTTTATCTCAAGCACACCGAGGTAGTTCAGTCATCGGAGCGCATGACCACGGGGCCTGTCCCAGCAGATGGGAGAACCTCCTGTCTTTCCCTTCACCTTGGTTTTGGTTCTGGGAAGAGTTAACCCAGCTCGCAGGCCAAATGGCTTAGCCGTGGTGAGTTTCAGATAATTGGCTGGAGACTCCTCGTTCTTGTGGTGCTGGTCCTCGCCCAGGACATGGGTGGGGAAAATCTGTCCCGAGGCTGCAGAACGGCTGCTGGCCACTCCTTTTCTTCAGCACATTCCAGAGGGAGAATGGGGTCGCATATTGCCTTAATTAGAGCAGACTGTGGCTGCCACTTTCTCTGTGCCAGCTCTCTGGCGCACGCAAGGCATCGGCACATCGCATTCATGCTCTTCAGTTTGCCAGCGTTAGAAAGCCCCTGCAGACCTGGAGGCGTGGTGCTGAAGGAGGCTGCGATCCCCAGTGGGATCTTGTGGGGCCTGGAGGAGCTCGGCCACCCTGCCTTGGTGCCACATTCTCCTAGGGCTTCACAGCTCAGAATTCCCAGAGCACTGAGTGTTCTTTGGCAGGTCTTGAGAGGTACCTGCTTGCCTTGGGGATGAGCTCAGATGTAGCAGTGGAAAAAACCCAGAGCCCTCCGTGGCCCTCTGCCCCGGGGGGAGGCTGTTCAAGGCAACAGGGAAAGGTGAGTTAGGTGATGAGAATATCCCTAGAGCTAGTCTCTCGTTCACTCTCAGCAGGGGCCCTGTGCTTTGCTAACTGTCCCCGAGGTCTGTAGCTGGTGTGCAGGAGTCCAGAGAAGCGCTGAGATGGCACGTGAAGGCTCCAGGGACACACACAGGAGGGATCTTTCTGAGCAAGCAAGGTCTTCATGAGAGCAGTCCTGCTGGAGATGCGCCCTTCGTTTTTGTTTTTTTATTAACCTTGAGGAGGAGTTTCTGAGCTGATGGTCTGACAGATCTGTAAGGAACCTAGTTATCTCTTGGCATGCTTGCTGCAGCCCATCCGTCTCTCCGGT